ACAAACTCGAACAGGCCAGAAAGAAGAACAGCATTCGTGTCTTGAGAACTAAAGAGGTTTGGATTTGATATCGTTGCCCTCAGCGAGACCAGGAGAGCAGAATAAGGCCAACTTAGGGAAGAACAATGCAACTACCCTTTTTTTCTGGAAGGGTAAGGCACAAGATCAGCCGAGAATACATGGAATAGGTTTTGCCATAAGAAATTACCTGCTAACCAAACTAACTGAACAACCAGTGGGAATCAATGAGAGGCTTATGACCTTAAGAATTGGCTTGGAAAAATCAGAATGTAACAGCAATAAGTGCTTGTGCTCCAACCCTTGATGCTGAAGAGGAAGTTAAAGAGGCCTTTTATGCTGACTTGGATGAGCTCATTTCTGCCACATCAACTCAAGACAAACTCGTCATACTAGGGGATTTTAATGCCAAGGTAGGAAGATATCACAACATCTGGGAAGGTGTAATTGGAAAAAATGGAGTAGGGAAGGCTAATTCCAATGGTAACATGCTACTAGCAAAGTGTGCAGAGCATAACCTTCTGATCGCCAACACTGTCTTCAGGCAAAGAGATTCAGTCAAAGTGTCATGGTAGCACCCAAGGTCAAAGCACTGGCACCTAATTGACTATGTGATAGTGAGAAAGAGTGACTAGCAAGATGTGCCTAGTACAAAGGCTGTTACTGCAGCGCATGAGTGCTGGACCGACCATCGGCTCATTTCATCAGTAATGTGACTCAAGCTCAAGGCTCGGAGCAAATGCCATAACAAGCCACACAACAGAAAATACAATGTTACTGGCCTATAAGATGAGTAACGTATACAGAAATTAGTAAAGAGGCTGAAAGAGTATGCGCCAGAAGAACTCCCTACGGATGTCACAGAACACTGGGAACAATTAAAGTCTGTCATCAAAAAATGATGCGATGTCATCAAAAAAACCTGCGATGAGGTGCTTGGCTATCAAAAGAGGAAATATAAAGACTGGTTTGATGAAAACAACTTGGAACTGCAACAGCTGATAGACAAAAAGAGAAATGCTTTTCTAAAACTGAAACAAGACCCGAACTCTACAATCAAGAAGACCAGATATATGGAAACTAAAGGTACTCTGCAAAGAAAAGTAAGAGAAATAAAAAAATCAGTGGTGGAGGGATAAGGCTGAAGAAATACAAAGCTTAGCAGATCGAAATAATTCTGGAGCTTTCTTCAAGGCTACAAAAGAGGTATATGGCCCTAGTATGCAAGGTCAAGTGTCACTGAGAAGTGAAGATGGTACAACTGTTCTGAAAACCAACAAAGAAGTTAATGCGCGATGGAGAGAACATTTTGAAGGCCTATTTAATTAAGAGACCACATACAATGCAAATGTGATCAACCTTACAACACAGCAGCCTATCAAACAGTCTCTATGTGACACACCAACTCTAGATGAAGTAAAGGCTATATTAAGAATGAAAAGCAATAAAGCTGCCTGCCCAGATGGTATACCAGCCGATGTATATAAATTTGGTGGTGAAAAGTTACAAGAACAACTTCATCAGCTTATTATCAAAATCTGGGCAGAAGAAAAAATACCACCTGAACCGAAAAATGCTAATATAGTTCAAATTTACAAGCGAAAGGGTGATCGGTCAGAATGTGGTAACTACAGAGGAACATCACTCTTCAGCACTGCCGGTAAGGTCCTATCAAGCGTACTTAATATGAGACTCCAGGGTATCGCAGAGAAAATCCTTCCAAAAAGTCAATCAGGTTTCAGACCAAATAGGTGAACAACTGACATGATCTTCTCTGTGAGACAACTTCAAGAAAAATGCATGGAACAGAACAAACCACTATACTTGGCATTCATCGAGCTCACAAAGGCATTTGATACTGTTGCTAGAGAACTGCTTTGGGATGTGCTGGCAAGATCTGGATGTGCTCGGAAATTAATTAATATGATAAAGCTAATGCATTATCAGATGACATCAACTCCGCTTGTTAACGATGGTGCTTCCACACCGTTTGAAGTAAAGACAGGAGTGAAACAGGGTTGTCTAAAGGCGCCAACACTGTTTTCCATCTTTATATCAGTCGTGCTCCTCCTTGCATACCCAATATTACCAGAACAGTTGATTGAAATTGCATTTCGCTTTGAGGGAAAACTGTTCAACTTGCGAAGATAACGTGCAAAAAGTAAGATCTCTAAATCTGCAGTGGTTGAATTCCAGTGTGCAGATGACAATGCCATAGCAGCACATCCTCAGGAAGATCTAAAAACTATACTGGATGCTTTTAACTATGCATATACACAACTCGGCTTAAAGATAAATGCCAAGAAAACTCAAGTTCTCTTCCAACCGTCTCCAAAAGACACAGTTAAAACTCCACCATCTATAAAAACTGGAGAAACAGTCCTGGAGAGCGTGGATAACTTTACGTATCTCGGCAGCACTTTATCTTCTCATGCAAATGTGGACGCAGAAGTCAATTATCGAATACAGCAAGCCGCTGCAGCTTTTGAGAAACTCCAGAGTAGAGTGTTTCAAGACCGAGACATCAGGTTAGACACAAAAATCAAGGTGTATAAAGCCATAGTTGTAACCACCTTACTATACGGATCTGAAACATGGACAATCTACCGCAGACACATAGCAGCCTTAGTAAAAGTTCCAGCAACGATGTTTACGGAAAATGATGACCATAAAGTGGCAAGATAGGAGAACTAATCTCAGTGTTTTGCAACAAGCAACTATGTGTAGTGTGGAGAGTGTGATTGTGAGGAACCGGTTGAGATGGAGTGGCCATGTAGTGAGGATGGAAAACAACAGACTACCAAAACAGATGTTTTACAGTGAACTGACAGAAGGTAAACGGGATGTAGGAGGACAAAAGAAAAGATTCAAGGACAGGCTGAGAAGTCACCGTAACCAGTGCGCTATTGACACTAAAGAATGGGAAAATCTAGCAATGAACAGAAATATTTGGAGGAAAGGAATAAGAGATGGAGTGGAAAAGTTTGAGGAAAGGCGTTCAGAAGGCATAAGGCTGAAGAGGGAAAGGAAGAAAGAAAAACAAGAACAGCCACGGACAGAATTACCACCAGGTCTGTGTTGTTCAGAAGGTGATAGACAATTCAAGGCCCGTACTAGCCTTTACAGCCATTACAGAACTCACCATCAGTCAATGATGTGAAATGGACACCTATCTTCTACACAGAAGGGGAGCCAACGACGACGACGACAAGATAGACCTTGCCCTGCCTTCCGCAAATAGTAGCGTCGTATTCTTTCATTCGCCTCTTCCCAAGGGCGTTGAAGCCGAGAACGAATGGGACTGATTTCTCGAGTGCGCAAATATTCATTGAGTGGGTCAGTGGTCTTGGACTTAGGTTCGTGCTTTGTTGTAGCTGGTGCGCTGTCAAAGGAGATCTCCTCAGAGGAAGACGAGTCGTCGCTAGGTGGCAAATAGAGGCTTCCTCCTGAGGTGGCTGGGGTACTGTGTTCAGGACGATTAAGAATCGTCTCCTCAGCCTAGAATAGCAACGTCAACTGTTAGATTGCGCACGGTTCATGAGGCTTTTCCATGCTGATATATGAAAAACAAGACATGGCATAAATGATTGAAAAACTTTAGAAACAACCAGAACAATAGCGTCGCTAAGTATAATCAGGAAGTCTGATTAAAAAAGAGCGATGCAGAATAAGAGTTTTGTGGTAACTTAATGAAATTCAGGCTTTCATCCTGTACATATAACATCAATGGTATATGCGAGACTCCTGAAAAAGCCAGTACATACCAAAGAAAGCTCATGAATACTTTCTGAAAGGGTAATAAGTTGTGGGTCTTGGCAACGCG